TGTTGTCAGCACCACGCTCACCCAAGTGAGCTAACCAGCCATCCCTATATAGGGATCCGAAGAACCCTTGGCCTTGGTGTTATCAGCATCACATTCTCCCAAGTGAGCCACGGGCCAGCCCTTACTCTCAGCAACTTTCAAGAACCCAATACATTGTTTTTTATCTATAGTCACCACATCGTACAATAGATCTCTCAAACTTATTCCTCCTAACTTAAATTTTTTATCCTTTGACCAACATCTCCCCAACCATCCCTCTTCCCCAAGCCCTGGAAACCACCATTCTACTCTCTCAACTTCTATGAGTTCAACTTTCTGACATTCCACATGTAAGTGAGATTATGCTGTATGTTTCCTTCTATGCCTAGCTCATTTAAGTTAACATAATGTCCTCGAGTTTCATCCATATTATCACAAATAACAGGATTTCCTTCACTTTTTAAGGCTGGATAGTATTCCACTATGTACATATACCACACTTTCTTTATCCATTCATTGGTTGATGGACACTTAGGTTGATTCCGTATCTTGGCTATTGTGAATAATGCTGCAGTGAACATGGCAGTACAGATATCTCAACATACTGATACTGATTTCATATCCTTTGGATACCCAATAGTGGGAGTGCTGGATTATATGGTAGTTCTATTTTTAATTTTTTGAGGAACTTCCATACTGTTTCCCATAATGGTTGTACTCATTTATATTTCCAGCAACAGTGTGCAAGGGTTCCCTTTTCTCCACATCCTTTCCAACATTTGTTATCTTTCATTTTTTGATAATAGCTATTTCTATCAGGTGTGAGGTAATATCTCATTGTGGTTTTAATTTGAGCTTCTCTGATGATTAGTGATTTTCAACATTTTGTCTGAAACTCCCACTAGACTGTAAGCATCATGAGGGCAAGATGCATGTTTGTCTTGTTCAAGCAATATCCCCAGTGTCCAGTACAGTGCCTTGAACAAAGAACTCACTTGAAAATGTTATCAAATGAATGATAGAAGCATACACTCATCACCTGTAAAGTATCACAGCATGAGTGGAAATGTCTCAGTGACAGAAATCTGTGGTCTTTCCTTGCTTATACAATTTACTGCCATAGTCCTTAGGATTGGCTCTTGTTCTGCCTCAATCTCCCTCAATAAATAGCCAAAAAATTATCTTAGGGTAAGCCTTTCTAATTGAGCCACCTTAAAAAGTTGCCACCTATCAAACTATATATATNACTGCTTTTATTTCCTTTGCAGCAAAACCACTTGAAGACATTATCTATACTCATAGTTTCATTTTCTGACCACCCACTCACTCAAGATAATGTAATCTATCTTCTGCATTACACTGCATTACAGTTCACTAACCAAAGTCATCAACATTGTTGCTACATCCAACAGACACTTCTCAATCCATTTCTTACTTGATAGCGTATAAACATTGTTAATTACTCCTCCATTTCTGGTTTCTGGAACCTAAAATTTTCCCAGTTTCTTTCTGTCTCCGTGGCAGTTCCTCTTTCTCTGTCTCTTAAATGTAGGAGTTCTGGTCTTAGGCTTTCCTCTCTTCTCATGTTTCTTGCTCAATCTCATCTACTCTTTTTCTTTTTTTGCAGGGGGACCACTTTCATCACTTGCTGATGGGGACAGCATACTAACACACTCTCTTGGGCTTATTCCTACCTATTGGCTGCTCCATCTCAATCTCTTCTACTCTTTTTTAAAATTATTACTTTAATATTTTATTTATTTATTTATTTATTTTATTTTATTTTTTTAAAGATGACCGGTAAGGGGATCTTAACCCTTGACTTGGTGTTGTCAGCACTACGCTCATCCAGTGAGCAAACCGGCCATCCCTATATAGGATCTGAACCCGTGGCCTTGGTGTTATCAGCACTGCACTCTCCCGAGTGAGCCATGAGCCGGCCCAATATTTTATTTATTTAAATTGACAAAAACTGTATATATTTATCACCCGAACCCGTGGCCTTGGTGTTATCAGCACCGCACTCTCCCGAGTGAGCCATGAGCCGGCCCAATATTTTATTTATTTAAATTGACAAAAACTGTATATATTTATCATATACATGATGTTTTGAAATACGTATACATTCTGAAATGAATAAATAAAGCTAATTGACATA